CTGGTCGTGGGGCCTGAACTCTGGGCCTGGGCACTGTCCCTCAGCTCTTCAGCTCAAGGCTAGCGCTCTACCACTTGAGCCACAGCGCCACTTCCGGCTTCTTTTTGCTTATGTGGTGCTGAGGAATCGAACCCAGGGCCTGATGCATGCAAGGCAAGCGCTCTACCACTGAGCCACCTTCCCAGCCCTATCACAGTATCTTATTGTCAGCTCTGAGCTGTGATGCTGTGGGTATATCAACTTAACCTCAATATAGGGTGTTGAACATGACCATTGGTGGTTTGGCCTCGTTCTTCAAAGGCCCTGCAGTTGATCTTGATTATCCCATCCAGTTACTGCCATCCCACTCTTGGCCTAGATGAGCAAGGCATATATACCATCCGTCTCTTGAGAATTCAGGCCACTGGAGAGGCAGCACAGGGGTGTGCGTGTGTGTGAACAGCAGAGAGGAGAGTTCCCATAGACACTAGGGATATGTGAAGGCCCTGGGGAGTTGCTGTGACCCTGGGTCTGTTCATAGAGCAGGAGTGTTAAGAAGGAAAAAAAGATGAACATCAGCTGCTGGACACATTTTCAGTGCTGAAAAAGCCCTTTTAGGACGGACACACACACACACACACACACACACATACTCTCTCTCTCTCTCTCTCCTATACCACATATATCCACCTCAAAAACATACTTATCTCACATAAACATACACAGTCTGAGTAATCTGCAGAAAGAAGGCCTGGGATAGTGAGAGTCCTCCATGCTGTACCCTGATCCTTCCTCATTTACTTAGTAAGAGATTTGTCATCTGTCAAGTGTGCTAGGATGGATGAGCATTCCCAAATTTTATTACTAATCTAGAGAGGGTTCAGGTTATGCAAATTTTGGAGCCAGCTCAGCCTGGGGCGGATCATGATACTGCTTTGTACTAGTTGTATATCTTGTTCATTTAAATTGTTATTATAAAGGTGATATCCAGAGTGGATATGTGTGTGTGTGTGTATGTGCATGCATGCACGTGTCCTGAGGTTTGAACTCAGGACCTGGGGAATGTTCCTGATCTTTTTTCTTTTTTTTTTTGGGTCTGGTCGTGGGGCCTGAACTCTGGGCCTGGGCACTGTCCCTCAGCTCTTCAGCCCTGATCTTTTTTCTTTTGCTCGAGGTTAATGCTCTATCACTTATGCGACAGCTTCATTTCCAGCTTTTTTTGATTAGTTTGAAGATCAGAATTTCAGTCTTTCCTGCCCAGAATGGCTTTTTCCCCCCCTCGGTTGTGGGGCTTGAACTCTGGGACCTGGGTACTGTCCCTCCGCTCTTCAGCTCAAGGCAAGCGGTCTACCACTTGAGCCACAGTGCCACTTCTGGATTTTTTTTTTCTGTTTATGTGGTGCTGAGGAATTGAACCCAGGGCCTCATGTGAGGCAAGCACTCTACCACTGAATCATCTTCCCAGCCCCCAGGATGGTTTTGAACTGTGATCCTCAGATCTCTGCCTCCCAAGTAGCTACCAGTACAGCTGTGAGGCACTGGCACCCAGCAGTTGTGTATCTTCGTGGGTCATTTAGCCTCTCTGAAATTTTTTCCATTTGACAAGTCTGAAACATTGTTATTTAGTAGAGATAGGTGCTAACACCAGTCATTTTCATTTTTGAAACTGGAGAGAGGCATCTCATCACAAGTAGCACATAAGGGCTCTGTAGACAAGAGGGAAGCCCCAGCTATTTCAAACTCCTGAACAAATCTCCTTAATCAAGCATACTTGAAAGGATGGAAATCAAGACAATAGAACCTCTCTCCCACAACTGGGATATTTTACTTACATTCCATATGTTTCCTAAGAGCATCTGAGACAGTGTCGCTTGGGAGAGAACCCAGGATCTCTTCTCAATCTCAGTTCTTCAAATCATAGTTCTCATTTTCAGCTATGTATGTCCGTGGGAACAAAATCCTATCATTTAAGGGCTCTCCTCCATCTGGCCTAACAACTTTCCAGCGCCTGGAGCTCAGCAGATGGGGGATTAGGACTGATGCTCTGTTCTATCTCCTCCCCTCTTCCCTCACTTCAAAGTCCCATAAAGCCAGTCACTGATTTCTTGACCTCATAGTGGAAGCTCCAACATCAACTTTCAGCTGATTAAAAACAGCAGATGCTGAGCCTTGGCCTGGGTGCCCAAGTTCCACCTTCTAGTCATCTCTCTCTGAGGGTAAGTAACGGCATGTCCAGGACCAGGCCACCAGTCCTTGTTCTACCTGGAGGGGAGACCCGGAAAAGAAGTTGACTTGAGCAGGTGGTGGGATGGAGAATCAGGCATTCTATTGGTGGAACCCCTGCTTTAAGGACCCAGGACTAGTTAGTGACCAGAGCAGATATTTACAGGGAGTGGCAGGTAGAGCAACAGGGGTTCTCAGTCCAGGGATAAAGGTAGTGGGAACAGTTCAGGGACCAGAATTTGTTCACTTAGTATTAATGTGCCAAGTATGCTAAATTCTATCGGAATTTAATGTCCCAACACATCAATCTGTCTCTGATGGTTGGGTAATCGGTGCTGTTAACTGGATGGTTCTGGCTCCCTGGTACCAGATTTTGCTCTGTAGATCCCCCAGGAGCAACTGTCACAGACCCAAGACTAGAGGGGGCCTCTAAGATTCAAAGACTGTTGCTTTCCAATCACTGGATTTTCCCAGCTGTTTTTCTTGGCAGAAGGATCACACCCATAGGGATGCAGAGGACAGGGAAGCAGAAATCAGTAAAATAAAAATGAACTGGGAAAGAGGCAAATGTTAAGAAAGACATGGAGAAAGTAGCTACGAGTGTCCCACACCCCTGAGACAGGCTACCTGAAGAAGCAATTTTGCAAGTGGAGCTGGGCTAGGCACAGCAAGAGGATACTAGCAGGTAACACCTTTTCACTCCAGGTGGAAGAGAACTAGGAATTATTACTCTGAGGTATCTCCTTCTAGGACTTGGCTGAAGCCTAGGAGCTCCAGGGGCAAACGTCCAGGTCTAGGATCATGTCTAACAAAAGCTGGTGGGAGCCATCTGACGGTGAGGACACAGTGTCTGAGAAGTTCCTAAGGAAGACCAGGGAGTCTCCTCTGGTGCCCATAGGTAAGTGGGGGAAGAGAATGGAAGCAGGCCTTCTCTCAGAGCAATCATAGCTCGTCTTTTTTTCTGAAGGTGAATGATATAGGGACAGTAGAGCTTATGTGGTCTGTCTGCTACACAAGAAACTGCTACAATTAGAGTAAGATAGGAGGTGACAGTCAACTGAGTGCATGGGGACACAGGCAAACAGCACCAACAGTAGCCTCAGGATGGAGACTTTGTTTTTGCTTTGTGGGTTGTGGGGCTTGAATTCAGAGCCTAGGCATCATCACCAATCTCTAGTGCTCTATCACTTTGAGCCACAATGCCACTTCCGTTTTTTGAGTGGTTAATTGGAGTCTCTCGGGGGCTTTTCTGCCCTAGCTGGTTTCAAACTGCAGTCCTCAGGATCTCAGCCTCCTGAGTTGCTGGGATTATAGGTAAGCCACTGGTGTCACTGGAGACTTTGAATTATGGACCTCTCAGGGCTTAAGAATTTGTGAGAAAGGAGAAATAGCTGTTCTGGGAGGTAGGAGTCAGCAGTGGTTGGAGGAGGACCCAAGAGTTGAGGTCGATGGGGTTGGAGGCATGGCTCAGGTGGTAGAATACCAGCCAATGACAGCATCAGATACTGAGTTTGAGTTCAGGTCTCAGATTAAAAAAACAAAACAGGTTGAGGTGGAGGAAGTCTGGGGTTTGAACTCAGGATCTTGAACTTGTTGGGCTGGGGCTCTACCATTTGAGCCACACTCCCAGACCATGCATGATGTTTTATTTTTTTATTTAATTTTTTAATTTTTTTTGGGCCCGGTCATGGGGCCTGAACTCTGGGCCTGGGCACTGTCCCTCTGCTCTTCAGCTCAAGGCTAGCGCTCTACCACTTGAGCCACAGCACCACTTCGGGCTTTTTTTTCTTTTTGCTTATCTGGTGCTGAGGAAGCGAACCCAGGGCCTCATGCATCCAAAGCAAGCGCTCTACCACTGAGCCACCTTCCCAGCCCCCATGATGTTTTATTTCTTTAGGAGGCAAGGGCATCAAGAGAGGGACACAACCAATTTGAAATGCCATTGTGGGGCCACAACTCAACATTCTAATGAGTCCCCTACCATTACTCCTACCTCCATCCCCATGAAAACAGTTGTTCAATCAAGGGTCCTGCCTGCCTACCCTAGTGAGATGATCTCATCAGGAGAGCCCTGGGCTTGGAGGACAAGGCCCAAGGATCACATTTTCTGCCCTCAGGCTTAGGAGGTTTCCTGGTGGTGGCAGCATATGGGATTTACCGGCTGAAGGCTCGAGGTTCTACCAAGATGTCCATACACCTGATTCACACCAGAGTGGCAGCACAAGCCTGTGCTGTGGGTGCGATCATGCTGGGTAAGCAACTTGGTGAGGCCACAGAAGAATCAAGGCAGAACAGAGAAAGCCTGGGTTCTTCATCATAGAGCTCAAGAGCTCACAAGAGCTCCCGAGACTTTCTCAGGGTTCCCTGTTTCTGACTGATACAGGGTGCAGTCTGTTTCATGAGTTTGCTATAGCAGTGAGAAAAATCCCAGAGCATATACTTGCTAGCTTTAACACCACTAGACATCAGTATAACATGACAGTAACTAGCCTTGGATCGGTCACTTTGAGGTTTCTTACAGAAGGTATGTCAGAGTGCTTTGTGAGCTGTCAGATGGGATGTTCCCAAAGCTATATGGTTGGATGCTTAGAGTAGCTGTTGGGAAACTGGAACAGAAAGCCAAATAGGGAAGAACCGCTGGGACATCTGGGAGAGCCAGAGGACAAGTGTGGGGACTGGATGCTAAGAGGCAACTCTCTTCCTCCCTTGCACAGGTGCTGTATACACAATGTATAGAGATTTCAGCAAGAGGATGGCACAGGACTCTGGAGAGAAGTAGGAATCCTGAGTGGGCAGAACAGCCCATACCTTGCATCAGTCTCTGATGTACCTAATAAAGTAGTATTGTGGAAAGCCAACTGTTTTCTTCACCTGCAGAGAGTAGAGAAAGGGAATGGTGGTGGTTGTAGGAGAACCCAGTGCAAATGCGGGAAACCAAAGGGCTCTGACCCCAACTCAGCCAGGGAGACACACAGAAGTGGTAGTCTCCTGAGGAGGTGAGGAGGCCAGGAGGCTTTGGATCCCAGAATCTCAACAACTCCCATGCTACTTCAAGACCACATATGGAAGCAGCCTGGAGTGGAGTGAAAGATTGGGGGCAGGGCCTTGAGGCTCACGGGAACACAGAACCAGAGGCAGGCGGCAGGCTTTCCCTGGAGACTTAGGCAGGAAGGAGGTTACAGCTGGGAGCACAGGCCGGTGATGCCTCATGGGAGATCACATATCCAGAATGTAAGCATTAGGACTAGAGAAGAGCCGGTTAGATAAAAGAAGCAGGCCAAGCAAGACAGAGGTCAAAATGCTCTGTTCACTTACAAACCATAGTTAGGTTGAATTTGTAAAAAATAAAATTCCATGTAAATCCTGACAATGGGGCCCTTTGAGGTTAAACGTTTTCTTTCCCTTCTCTTTCCCGAGGCCCAAGTTTCTCTCTGTTCTTCAGGAATGGAGCCAGGCAGAGGCCACAGAAGTTAGCAGGAGGACAAGTGCCCCTTCCTTACTGGGACTCTGGGTTGGTGGTTTGTGGGTTATTCCAGATGGCCACAGCAGTTCCCAGACACTCTGACATGAAGGTCAAATGGCACAGATCTCTGCTTCAAGTCCAGGACCTGCGGCCCACCACAGGGAGCAGACACTGCACTCACATGGGGTAATTGAGTACAACATCCTGTTTGGCAAGCTCCAGCAACATAGGATCATCAAAGAACTTGCTGATGCTCACATCTTCACTCAGGCCCTGTAGAGAATGGGACAAATGTAAGACCAAGCTCCATGCAGCAGCTAACTGAGCTGTGCACTGTCCAAGACCTGCCTGGGGTGGAGGGAGGAAGAATGGGCTGTTCTAGAAGGTTTTTTTTTTTTGGTCGGTCATGGGTCTTGAATCCTGGGTCTGGGTGCTGTCCCTCAGCTCTTCAGCACAAGGCCAGCACTCTACCACTTGAACCACAATGCCATTTCTGGTTTTCTGGTGGTTAATTGGAGATGAGAGTCTCACAGGCTTTCCTGTCTGGGCTGGCTTTGAACCGAGATCCTCAGATCTTAGTCTCCAGAGTAGCTAGGATTACAAGTGTGAGCCACCAGCGCCCAGCTTTTTTTTTTTTTTTGTAAGTTGTGGGGCTTGAACTCAGGGCCTAGGCTTTTGTTCAAGGCTAGAGCTCTACCACTTTGAGCCACAGTGCCACTTCGTTTTCTGCTGATTAATTGGAGATAAGAGTCTCATGCACTTTCCTGCCTAGGATGGTTTTGAACCACGATCCTCAGATATCAGCCTCCTGAGTAGCTAGGATTACAGAAGTGAGCCATTAGTGCCTGGCTACAAGCTGTCTTTAGGGTGTTGTCACTGCCCTATTTCCTTTGGGCTACAGTTCTAATTGCCTGAGGATGAACAGCTCATATTTTTCCTTGCTGTGCAGTGAATGCTTTTCAGTTTATAGGCACTTAGGAAAAGAATCCAAAAGGATTCAGAGACCTGGGCTCAGAGACCTGGAGTTGTGGGGGGACAATGGGTTTGAGGGATACATACTTTCCTCCGACGGGTTTTGATCATGAATTCCCGGGCAAGATGAGGGGCTGGCTGTGGCTCTAAGGGGCGGATGACAATGCTCTTGTCCAGAGGATCACCAGGTACAATCTGAAAATAAGAGGGGTTTCAGATGATCCAAGCAGATTCCTTAGAATAGTCCTGACCAGAAGCAAGCCTCTTCTCTAGTCAGGTACCTCACTTGGGATTTAGAGGAGGAGCAGGCCAGAGGGGTTGAGCTTTGTACAAGTGCCAGATCAAGCTGGCCAGCCTGCCCTGTATTCTCACCTGCCAATGATGGAAGACAGACAAGGAAAACGCCTGTCCTTGGGTGTGAGTCCGCAGATCAGTCTCAAAGCCAAAAGAGTCGATGGCTGGAATGAAAGCTTTGATAGTGTAGAGAGGGGAGCCTGGGATGGGTGCATCCTGAGTTACGTGCCCCCTAAGACAGAAAAAGAAAGGCAGAATCCATAGTTGCACGTAAGTCAAAAGCAATGAAGCAATCTGCTTTTTTTTTTTTTTTGCTGGTCCTAGAGTTTGAACTCAGGGCCTGAGTGCTGTTCCTAAGCTTCTTTTACCTTATGCTCAAGGCTGGCACTCTACCACTTCAGCAACAGCTTCACCTCTGGCTTTTTTTTGTTGTTGTTTGGTCTGTTGTGGGGCCTGAACTCTGGGCCTGGGCGCTGTCCCTCAGCTCTTCAGCTCAAGGTGAGCGCTCTACCACTTTGAGCCACAGCACCACTTCCATTTTTTTTATTTTTTTCTGGTAGCTAATGTGGAGATAAGTCTCAGAGACTTTCCTGCTCCAGCTGGCTTTGAACTGCGATCCTCAGAGCTCAGCCTTCTGAGTAGCTAGGATTACAGGTGTGAGCCACTGGTGCCTGGTTTACTTCTGGCTTTTTTTTTTTGGGGGGTAGTTTTTAAATTGGAGAGACTCATAGATTTTCCTGCCTAGACTGGCTTTGAACTGTAATCCTTAGATCTCAGCTGCTGCTGCTTCTTTTTTTTTTTAGTCAGTCGTGGGGCCTGGGCACTGTCTCTCAGCTCTTCAGCTCAAGGCTAGCGCTCTACCACTTGAGCCACAGTGCCACTTCCAGCTTTTTTTTGCTTATGTGGTACTGAGGAATCGAACCCAGGGCCTCATACATGCGAGGCAAGCATTCTACCACTAAGCCACCTTCCCAGCCCCAGATCTCAGCTTCTTTAGCTAGGATTACAGGCCTTGAGCCACTGGTTCCTGACCAATCTGCCCTTTTGTTCAGCCAGTCCTGGGGCTTGAACTCAGGGACTGGGCACTGTTCCTGAGCTTTTGGGATCAAGGCTAGTGCTCTACCACTGAGCCACAACTCCACCGCCATCTTTTTTGGTGACTAATTGGAGATAAGAGTTATAGACTTTAATGCCCAGGCTGGCTTTGAACTTCGATCCTCAAATCTCAGATTCTTGAGTAGCTAGGATTACAGGCATGAACCACCAGCACCCAGCTCAGAAAAATCATACATTCTCATCTGTAGTAAGCTGGGGAATGCCTCATTTACTGCTTTGTTCTGGAAAACAAGCTCACTGGGTTTCTGAGTGGAGAAGTGAGGAGGTTCAGCTTTTCTCTCCTGTAGAGCTGAGGGGTTTGGTGTTCTGCTCTTCCTCTCAGCACTCTTCTCTAACATGATGAGCTGCTTACCTGCGTCTGGCCAGGACAGTGTAAACAGCTGACACACAATCTGCAGGGGCCTGAACCTCTACAAAGTAGTAAGGCTCCATCAGACGAGGGGTGGCCTGCACAGAGCAAGAAGGGCTTAGGCTGAGGATTAAGATTCCTTAGGTCCCCAAAGCCGGGTTCTTCTCCAACCAAGGAGGATGGTCCCCTACAATCCTTCTCTCTTACCATGAGGAAGGCAGAGTAGACGACTCTCCTGGCTGTGGGGATGATCTGGCCCCCACCTCGGTGCAAGGGCTCTTGGGCAACCACTGCATCCAGGATCTTAAACTTGACATTTCGAATCACTGAAAAGGAGATGGGGACAGTTGCATATAGTTCTAGGGCTAGTCCTGGGGCCAGAGCATCTTGCCCCATCTCAGCCATAAAAGATATAGGACAAATATCACAATCAGCAGGGCCTGTAGCAAAGAGGTCAACCGTAAAGCACATAGTGTTTGCTTCAGGCCATGCTTGGACATTCACAACTTTCCCACTGTAGGTGTGGGGTCAATTAACCACTCTAATTACTTATCTCCCTCCCTCTCTCCCCAAATTAAACTCAGGGCCTTGTGTATAGTAGGTAAGTGCTTTATCATTTGAATAATATCTCCAGCCTCTTATCTTTTGGACAACTCCTCTTAACATATCAAAAGATAGATCCTTCAAGAATAAGGAGTAATGTCAGTATAGAAATGAGTTCATTTCTAGGATATACCAAATACTGAATCAAGGAGAGGAGGAAAGGATGGCTCAGGATGGTTCAATATACTTCAAGTTGTTTTTGCTGCTAGGTCCCATACATGAAGAGCCCACCCCAGATCAGATGGCCAGATGTGAGGGTTTTGGGGACAGACGCAGGAAGTACTTGCAGACTTACACTCATCACATAGGGGCCCCTCCCTGGTTCCCCACTGGAAACCTTGAACGATGCTGTCCTTCACTGAACCAAGAAGAGCCTTGTCCACCTGCACAGAAACATAAGGGCTCTTTAGCAGTCCCCTGGCAATAGCCAATGAATTTAGAGGGAGAAGAAGAACAGAGGAACAACTGTGACAGCACACACTTCTTCATCAGGGGTCACAAATGCCCTTTGGAAATAACACTTTGCACTTCTACTGAAAAGCTCACAGATTGTCATGCAGTTCCTATGGGGTCTGCAGTACCTCTGAGGGCAGGGTATCATCTACCAGGATGTTGGGGCCTGTGGCATCAGGGCCAAAAGCCCAGATAGAACGGGCAGCCAGCAGATCCCAGTCATACTTGGTCTGGAAGAACTCTCCCAGCTTCTTCCTAAGGAGAGAAGGAGAATGTGGAAAGCTCTATGCTGCTGATTTCTAAAGCAATGGAGCCTCCCTTGTCCCCCCCTTTTTTTGTCATGGGGCCTGGCTCTGTCCCTCAGCTCTTCAGCTCAAGGCTAGTGCTCTACCATTTGAGCCATAGTGCTACTTCCGGCTTTTTCTGCTTATGTGGTGCTGAGGAATCAAACCCAGGGCCTCATGCATGCAAGGCAAGCACTCTATCACTGAGCCACCTTCCCAGCCCCTGGAGCCTGCCTTTTTAGGGGACAGTCTCGCACTGACACACTGGGTCCAGGACAATAGCAAAGGAGGTACACCTTCCCCAAAGAATATGTGATGTTAGAAACCAGGCAGGTAAGCTGTGTCATCAGCTCTGGGAGG